TTTTTTTTTTTTTTTTTTTTTTTTTTTTTTAATTTTATTTCCTTAATATATCATGGACTGGGAGATCTTGTCAATATAATTATGAATCGTTAGAACAGTTGGATTGGCTATAAGTAATAGTTAGCAATAGTTATCTGGACTAATATCGTATTAGTCACTGAATTCATTCATTATTCTTGAAATCCGTGTAGTATAATTTCATTTATGATTCATGAAAAATATATAATAAAGTATTAATCGATCGAGTGAGGTGGATGAAGAACTTTTCTTATTATATATAACTAGGAAAAAAATTCCGTCGCTTCGTTCATAATTACACTAATTTAAAATCTCTTATTAGATTGTTTATTACATTTTACTGATTGCTTAAAAGATATTCATTATGTGCTGTAGTACGTGCTAATGCACTTGCACAAAATAATTATTAATTTTGCTAAGCAGCAAAAATCGAGTTCTGCTTGTTTTATTATGTAAATGAATGATTTATCAATTTCGTAGTAAAAAATAATAGATAATTATAAAACTGTGTAAAAAAAAAAAAATTTTCAGTTATAAAAAGTAAGAAACAAACTTTGTAATGATAAATATTATTGAAAAAAAAACTTTAATATCACATTTAATTCCATTTCAAAACTCTTCATTAATTCCCATTGCACTGATTTATGTCAGTACGTTTTAATTTTTATCAATTCACAATACTTTTTCCAAGATCTAACAGAAGATATAAATTGATTGCTCAATGCGTACACAACCTAAAGATAGATCAAATTATTTGCTTCTAATTGCACATGAGCATCTAGGATAAAGTAAGCATACTTAACATGACGTAAGCAATAAAGAAAATAAACAGCCAATAGTAATCGGTCAGCTGCGTGTTTTGCACGAAAATTCAGGTAGAATCGTATAATAATAAAAGTCGTGCGCGCCATCTTTTCTCATCCACCAATACTTTTGTACGTTCTTATGAAATCTAGAGGGACTCGCTTGCATTTTCCTCACAAAAGCTCGCTCGCAGGTTTATTAACCTCTGACCGCATAAATCAGGCTATCTCATATCAAATGGAATCCTCGGATGTTTAACATTAATCATCTCGT